CCGGGGTCTGCTTAAAAGGTTGAGCGCAACAGATCTCCAGCGTTAAGAATCCCCGTTAATATGTATCAGTTTGCATGCCCAATATTTTCACTTCCAGAAGGTAGGTAGAACTGTATTAAGCAGATTTCAGGGAGCCCACGACTGCCCGTTGAGAACAACATTAGTACACGTGCCGCATCGGTGTTGCTTCACTTTGTGCTTCAGCTAGTAAGGGGAACTATAATCACCGTAGCTATGTGTGTTGCAAAAAAAACAGCAATACCTTCATGGCAGAGTAGCTTTCGGTCTTCTATCAAGGCTAGAAAGCATGGAAATGCTGTGAAGCAGCAAGTGCGCCGGCAATTCAACGGGCACGCAGCAGAGCCAAGACACTTCTGCGAGGGAGCCAGGGAACTCGATATTTAAAATGTGTTTTGCATGCCAATCTCCTTTTCAGGATGGTTCGCCTGAACTATTTTCCATCGCTAAAATCTATTGAGCTGTACTTCCCAGGACGTGAGTTCCCTGGACGGTTCAACTAGGGTAGATTGTCCAATATCGCCTTAAGGCTAGTTCAGAACCTTTGGGAATTATTTGTTGAGCGGGCAACTGTTCCGCAGGCAGTAAGCAGCGTTTTTTTCGGAAGCAGGGAGTGACAGGCAGTACTACGGAATGGCTACTAAACCTAATTGGCAGCAAGCCATTCAAAGCAAACATTTCTACATCGACTCCATTGGGCAGTAATTTGTTCGGATTATGCGTTGGACTAACACCTCCTTCCAGATGGTTAGTGGCAATATCTTCATGGCTTGCGCACATTGTAGAATTTATCGTTGGTAGGTATCTTTGTCGACGCATGCCCTGTTAGCCTATGTACAAGTATTCGTGTAAGCGTGCTGTCCTACAGGAAGTGCGTGGCTACTACCAACGAAGGGAACGCATGCCTTTTTCCTTATTTTCCCGCCACGGTGATTCGCTAAATCTGTCTGCAACGTAGTTCAAAACGCTCATCTGAATGACAAGCAGGCATGCATCCGGAAAATCACTGCCCCTGTTTGCTACGCTTTGCAGACACATAGCACGGGATGCAATGAAGTCAGGGGGCAAAGGGATTGAATTGCGGCATGCACCAGTGAACGTAAAATTACCCGGGCGGACAATTCAGAAGCAGCAGCGTTGAATCAAACTCAGGAGAGGCGCAGGTCTAAAAATGGAGTCAAAGCAACCACCTGTTTGTACGATGCGCGTGTGATTGTATCCCGGGCGTCGGTTGCGATGAATAGATTGACAACCGCACTATGTAACGTGAAAATCATCGATTTCTGGAAGCAGGGGATATTCCAGAGAATTATAGAGACGCCAGCTCGCAAATGCTCCAGGCAGTGAGTTTTGACGGTGTCCGGAGCATACGATGAAACTATGTGGTATTGTGAAAGATATTCGCGCTATTTTTCATCCATGGCTAGAGGCATTCTGTAACTAGCAACTAGGTGAAATATGTACTTGGGCGTGAGTCGGAGCGACAGTAATATCTCGGGAGAACGGTGCTTCTTGTCAGTATGTATGTCACCGATGAGCTAACCTCGTCCAAATATTCTTTAAGCGAGCGTCATATGGGCGGCAAAAGGCAAAACTATCACGGCATTTTGAATTTATTGCGCCAAACTGCGACGAGAAAAATCACTGGATTGGACTACAGTAGGAGGGTTAAGCCCTTCTGGACAGGGTGGCTGCTGTATGTTTCTTGCTCAGGTCGTGAGGCACACTTTGCAGTAATCCTACAGCTGACTTTGGCCAGTAACCGCGTTTAGGATAATACAGAACCTGGGGGGCGATGACCTGAGATGCGGGCCATCGTGAGGCGCTTTTTATGACTGTGGAATCATTTCTCCGCTTAGGAAGTATGGACTTCCGTGAAGCACTCAGGCAACCCAGCATCGGGAACAAACATGGGCTATAGAGAGCATCCACCCACAGTTTTCCTCCACACAGCATGTTGCAAACGGTGCGTTCGGCATAATTCAGGTCAGTTTTGCTGGCTATGCGTCTTGCGTCAGGAAGTGAGGCTTACATGTGGATTGCTTTTGGCAGGTGTATCTTGCACAATAGATATATCAAGCAATAATAGTGTGTAGTAGATGCCATGGGTTTACCATATGTAACCTTGTCAATTACAGCAAGTGAGCTCTCTGGTATGGGCGGTATGGGCGGATGGGAGTCATTGGACAAATTGGATTGGGTTGCATGTTTGCTCGGCAGTGTGCTGTTTGGCAGATTTCACTTCGAAACTAGTCTGACACGCCTTAATAGGGCTATTTCATTCGGGGCACGCATAAGTTTGCTCAGTATACCTGGTCCTTCACGGTAGCTCAGTTTGTTTTTGGACAGGGCGAAACTGGTAGGGAGAACTGGGGAGCGGCTTTGCGTAGGGTGACGGATTTTCTCTCAAATGAATTAA